CTATTGCCCCCAAATAAATTTGGTTATGAGTTTTAATAAAGATGAGTTTTGTCAGTTTTGAATGACTATTCAGAGAGCTGTTTTTATCTCTACTTGCCAGAAATTATTGTCTGGAAAAAAGTCAGAAAGTAATTCTGAAGAAGGAACACCCTACCCACTAATGCTTTGAAAAACATGTCTTCTTTTAATCAGGGAGTGTAGCACAGAGATGTAGACCTTTTCTTGGTAAGCAGGTGTCTCTGGACCTGTCCAACAATAGTCATTTCTTTGAAAAGAAACATTTTGGTGCCAGTCTAGTAATAAATTCTTTCTTAAATTTGGCTTGGGTCAGAATATACATCAAATGTAAGAGCAATGATATATGAAGACCAATGAGAGGATGTTCAAAAAGTAAAAATAATCTATGCAGAAAAAAATATAAATTTTATTTTTTGATTATTACTGCTTGAGAGGCAACCCATTTAGGCTAGTTAACATAAAATCAAAGGTGACAGATGACAATTGTTAAAATATATTTTAGAAAACAAGAGCATTTTCTCTATATTTAAATAGTTATTGAAAGAAGTACATAAAGATAACCATTTCCCCCATAGTTGCATAGGCTTAAAAATATTTTCATATTAAGGCATAGAGGTGTAATATCAGAGGTAGCCATTTTTCTTCCCAATAATTCCCTAACATTATGCCAAGATCTGGAAGTGAATCTGTTTGGCTATGGCTATGTTCTGGAGCACAGCACTGAGGTCTTATTCTTGGTCACTGAGCCACGAACAATAAAGGGTTCATGGTTCAGAGAGAAACTGGAACCAGTTATTTAGAACAAGTATAACTATCTCCCAGAATGCACTTTATTACAAACTGCTAACCAAGGGAAAAAACATATTAGGATAGAGATAGCACTTCCTGAGTGGTATAATACAAGGCACATAATATCCTCCAATACTGTCACATAGCTTCAATCTTAGGAAAGTAATACATACAGGCAATTCGCCCAGGCAGGAGTACAGTGGCGTGATCTTGGCTCACTGCAACCTCTGCCTCCTTGGTACAAGCGATTCTCCTGCCTCAGCCTCCCGAGTAGCTGGGACTACAGGCGCGCCACCACGTCCAGCTAATTTTTTGTATCTTTAATAGAGATGGGGTTTCACCATATTGGCCAGGATGGTCTAGATCTCCTGACCTCGTGATCCGCCCGCCTCGGCCTCCCAAAGTGCTGGGATTATAGTCGTGAGCCACTGCACCCCGCTCATAAAATGCTTTCAAGTAGAGCTCCTGCTTGAAATTAATAACTAACGTTAACTTATAATTCGATATGTCAATTTGTACATGTGCTGAAATTCATAAAGATAGTTATGAACTATTTCATTCATTGAATATAATCCTTAAACCCTTAACTCTCAACCTGGTTAATAAATCCTTTTTACATGGACAATGCAGAGGTAAACAATAACTAAGGTAAAATTACCACAATTCCATAATGCTGGAACCTAAATTAATAAGACTGTCTAACATAAAGGGCAGAGAATGGAAGGCTAATATTTACTGAGTTTCTTTGATGTGCTAGATAATAATCTACAGTATTTCATTGAATTTTTAAGGCATCGTTTTGAATAGAAATTAATATTCTCACTTGAGAGGTGAGTAGCCTGCAGCTTCTAGGAGATTAATATACCTACCAGGACCTCTTAGGTAACTGGCAGAGCTAAGATTAGGCTCACATCAGAGTGCCCAAACCCATGCCTCTTTCTGCTACACCTTGCTTTTTCTCTAGTTCTCTGTAGACTGTATTTTTACAGTATTTGATATCTAAAAACCATACCTTTTAGGAAATCATCTCAGAAACTACTAAACACGTAAATGTATCAGTAATCTGCTACATTTAATATCCTGCCAAAGACCAAAAAGGCTTTTCTAAGCTCATAAGCTGACCAAGTCATTTACTATTATGACCAACAGTGTCTGCTAAAATATTAACGTGTTGACAATGGGGAGGTCTCAGCCCTTGGCAAATATCAGTGTTCTGGTCACACAGCATTGACTTCCTTAGACCAGAGACCAGCCACGCAACCTGAAAATGGGAGAGGCACCCAGCTTGTTTTGAAACAGTAATCTTCCATCCTGTTAATGAATTATCTATACTTTCTATTTTGCCTGCTTCTATAAAGAATTTGGAGTGGTTTGCTGAGAACAAAGCCTGTAAATGAACATAATAAATGATACATTGTGGGGTAGAGTGGGGGGTAATAATCTATTCTAAAACTTGTGTTAACATAGATTTTTATTTGGTGGGATCTGAATCTTGGATTCTTTGGTGGACACAGAAGTAGTATGAAAGCTAAGCTAGGAAAGTTTAAAATGATAATGTAAGAAAATTGTTTGGCAAATTTTTTCTTCATAGACACCACAAAGATAAACACTATGGAAAATGAGCCCACATTCTACATTAGCAAGGTGGAATTAGAAAAGTTTTACGATAATAAACAAATTTGACGCTAGTCTCTGTCTTTCTGCTCTGGACTTTATAAAAACGTCAGGCATTGCCATGGTATATAGAAGGTAACCTAAGGCAATGCTTACCTTTCTAGAAGCAGAAGTTTAGTTTTTAATGCATAAGGCTTTATCTAACATTCTTGGGCATTAAGGAGTTCTACATAAATATAATTACATCAAAACTGGTTCACCGGAATAAGAATACAAATTTTAAAAAGTGTCCCACTAGATATCTTTCTGAAAAACATCATGTGTTGCCTTATACAGGTATTGAACATAGTTTAATTTTTTTCTTCACGAACTACGGTGATCAATATATCAGACACTTGGCTTGAAGACAGACAGACCTGTGTTTGAAATTTTACCTTTTCTGGTGTTAACAAAATGAGAACTTTGACTCACGGAGCATCACGAAATAACGTATTAGGAAGTCTTTTGTGAACTACAGAGGAAACAAGAATGTTTGTGAAGTAGTACTTAGTTTATTTATGTGCAAAGGCGTGGTAGGTCCTGAAAAGATCAGAGGTTTTTAAAAATGTTGAGCCCTTAGAGCTTGTAAGGCTGTTATAGCTGCTTTTTAAATGATAGATAAATGTTCATGTATTATCATGAATATTCTATTGCATGTTTTCAGTTTTTACCTCTAAATGTGTGCTTTAAATTAAATTCTCTGAATTACTAAAAATACTTTTAATGTATAGTATATCTTGATATAAAGGTTTTTATTTGAGAATGCAAAATTACAAGGTCAGCCAGTGAGAGGAGGAATATATGAATTTACAGTAACAATTTTATGTTTCCTATTATGATTCATCTATTGCCAAAATTAAGAAGAATCTGGATTTAAAAAATTCATTATTTTGTAATGGAATGAATACTACATACTACTTTGCTTATTTAAATGAAGAAAAATAAATGTTTCTTGGACTCTTAGATTCTTTTTTTAAAGTACATCTCCCCTAACATCAGTGAATACCTCAGTCTCAGGAGTTTTCGAACAGAGATTAATCAGAAGATCTAGACCATTGTTTAATGTGAAATGTGTTAAAAGTACGTGCCTTTATTCTCCTAAGGGCATAAAAAGATATTTAGACAAGGCATTTAGGACAGGAAGAATGTTTCCAGGGAGGAAGGCCATAATCTTTTTTTTAGTTAAGCTTTTGGTAAAATGGCACATAAAAAAGACTTAGTTCGTTTGCACAGAGATTGTAAAACAGTTCAGTGTCTACATCTTGTATTTGTAGAACTTCCATTTATATCATAAAAGCCCAATTTTTCTGTTTCTAATTATTTCTTGAATAAACCGTCAAAAATATTTAGGTTTATCAACCTAAAGAATGTTTGATCTCAGAGAGCATAGAGAATAAAATATTTTGTGAATAGGGGTATGGAATTCATTTTCTTATCAAATGTACAAATATTATGCCCAGAGTGTATCCTGACAAGTATATATTAGGCATTATAAGCAAGGTTTTAGGACCCTCTAGTCATTTGGAGAAAGACAATCCTTTTATTGTGCTGGCAAAATGCTTCTGGTTTCCTGTCATTAAACCTAAGTGCCAGTGAAAGTTTGAGCAGAGATTGCTTTATACAATACACGCTTTACGAGAATAATATATACCTGTAAGAGTAATTTTTATTACCTAAGAGGATGAAAAATTGTATGTTTCTTCATCATATGGGGCAATGTGCATAATTATCTCCTCTGGGTCAGATATAAATTTTTCTATCTGCTTTAAACACTCGGCATACTTCTTGCCTCGTGAGCCAATTCCACCATTTTTGTAAGAGGAAGGAAAAAAAAAAAAAACCCAGAAGACCCCTACTAATTTCTTTTGAATTGAACAGTAGTTTCATGGAGAAGTTTCCATTTAATTTATATGATCTAATTGTGTTAAGTAGAACCAGACTATGGGGTTAAACATTTCCATATGTTTTAAAGGCCCAGAACTTTTCCTGAAAGGAGACATCATTCTGAACTCGGACTTTACCTGCTGCTTCCAGAAACAGCTGAAACTCCACCCAGATTGTGCCCCCTTCCCAGCTCTGTGTGCCACACGTAAGCACATGGAGGAGATGCCGTCCCCTGGCGCACCCGTCGCCTGGGAGGGCCATACCCCTGCCACACTCCTGGACCTCCAAAGGCTACCAGATTTTTCCCCCAGTCATTGACATTTGCCTTCCTCCTCTGTGTATGAAATGAAGAAGTAGGTAAATGTAGAGAGGGAAGGCAGAGTTGACCAAATTCTGGAAATCTGGTTCCTGGCTTACAGCCACCCTGAGCCCTAGTGTGATCTATAAATGCTTTACAACTCACCCCTTGTTGATATGACATTTTGGTGACTATAACCATCCCCTCTTCATTTTATGCTCCAGAAGCTTGTGAGACCTCAATGAGTCATGAAGAATCCTAATTTCAAATCCAAAGAATCCAAAGTGATGATAACAAAAACCAATAATTGATATCTGAACAAAGGTTAGTATTTGACAATGGATAAAGATTGGTATACCTTCCCTTCCTCGGGGCTTTGTTGACATGAATTGTGAACGTCGTCTTCTCTTACTAATTTTCCAGGCCAGGAAGTCAGTCCTTTGATTTGGCCCCAGACCAAGTCACCCACATTGAACGTCCTTGGTCTATAATGTATCAATTCATTTGAAGAGGGGGAGTCTGGATTCCTTAGGTCATCTTCACTACTAATGCTTTTAGCATCTGAAGGGCTAGGCACACACCCGTTAATGCTTTTGGCATTAAAGTCTCCATTGTAATGGATGTAGTCTTTGACCAGAGAACTTTCCAAACTATTTGAGGAACTTGGAGACTGCTCCTCTAGGACCAGGTCTTGCTTTGCAGTGCTTAGCAGCTCTCCAAATCCCCGACTCTGTCGAGGTCTATTCCCATTAATATGTGCACATCTTTCCACAGTGTTCTCTAGTCTCTCTTTAAAACTCATCATAGTTCTTTTGTAGTTATTATACCTGAAATTTTCCTCTAGAATTTTATCCCCTGGACAGTTTCTTGGTGGTAACAGTATTGGGTGCTGCTCCCCAGGCAGAAATGGCAGTGTAGAGACATTGTTGGACCTTTCATGACAAGGACTACTGTGGATATGGCCTGGATGATCTAAAAATTCCTCGTACTTCCACCTGTTTCGCTCCCCTCTGGGGCTTTGCTCCCCGTCCCACTGTTTTTTGGATGTGTGGCAACTTGCTGACTTGAAATATTCAAACCCATCTCCTTCGTTCGCATTTTTCCCATGGTCTAGGTTCTTGGGCAGCCGAGCCCCTCTTGAATTCCTCAGCCTACCATCATGATCAACACCTCCCATGTTCCGTCCATGAATGACCGCACTGACAGCACTGGAGAGATTTAACGGGTCACCAATTGAGGCAGTGAAGGCACTCATGGCACTCAGAGCTGGAATGGGGCTGATCTGAGTTGTACTGTTGACTGCAGTGGTGATGACAACCTGCATTCCTTTGCTGGCTGCATCGACAACTGCTTTGTAAATGGCATCTACAGAAGCATCACCTGGGCCACCCACAACGAGGCCATCCTTCACCTGTTGACCAAGAGATGGGTCAATCCTTGGTTGCAACTCACAAGGTGAATCTTGAAAAGGTGGAAGTGTAGTGTTTGGATTCTCAGGAAGTGCTGTGAGCCCAGGCTGACTGCTTATTCTTTTGTTTAGGAGAGCTGCATCTTCCTGCATTCTCACCTTGAAGAAATAGACAGGAAGCAGTGAGAGAAAGAGAAATAATTTTGAAGGTCTCAAAGAGAAAGACTACAATTTTAAGATTTACCAAAAGACAAACAAATATAACAAGGAAGGAAATATAGAGAACAAGACTCAAGAAATGAAATAAAAAATCACTTTGTGTAGGAAAGCATATGTCTTGATTATATCTGCATGCCATTTCTTTGGTTAAAATTATTCAATGGATTTTAAAAATTATCATTGCAAAGCATTCTCTAGAAAAATTAAACTTGAGGTGGTTGGATACAAAATGTACTCAGGGTGGGATGACTCCATTGATTTTGTGGTCTTTGCAATTACAGGTCCTTGGAATTTAGAATGCAAAAAGAGAGTCAAGTCATAGGTAATCAAATCAGCAAAGGAAAAAGATTTTGAAATGGTTTCTAACTTACTGTTTCCATTTAACTAAGTGAAATATAAAATAAAATAAAAGAAAACATATAAACTCCCTTCTTAACAATAACATGACACTAGTTTTCAGATGGGGTAGTAATACTTGCTCCTCAATCTTTTCAGGCCGCATCCCCATGCTGTCAATAGTGGCAATGGCTGTCTGCACAGGTGATTCTCAATTAGAAAGTGGTGAAGGGAGAGCATACTTACCAGGGGAGCATATCAGAATTTCAGAGGGTAGTTTGAAAAAGTGCCCAAGGTTATTCTAATTTTACCACCCACCCCCGCAACCTCCACACCATCTAAGAATGACTGCTCTAGACCCTCGATACTTTGGACTTTCAGGTTTTTTTCCCCAATGATCTCTCCCTTTCTTCACATCCTTCCCTAATCCAGAACCTGCAATCTGTCAGCACATCAACCTCTCTCTTGCTATTATCACCCTGTCTACACCTACCAGGCAAAATCCCAATCTTGGATCAATTCAACTGCCCGCCCTATCTACATCTACAGTGAGGATGCAGAGTATTTGTCTAGAGCAATTTGTGGCTTCCAACCTCAGTTGAGGGCTTATTGCTGCCCATCAATCCTAGATCTTCTGGTTAATTATCACTCATTTTCCACAACTATTGAAATCTTCATCCACTTCTTCACCATCTCCCACTGTTCTTAGGTGACCTTACATAATAGAGAAAATAAAGCCCATCAGGCAAGAATTCTCGTAATTTCTTATACTGTGATACTCCCTGCCCCCCTGGCAGCAGACTTCTCTGGAATTATACCTGTCCTAAATTCTGTCCTGCTTCCCATAAGAGGGGTCCCTTCTGATCTCTGAGGGTGCACCCTCTATTTATGTTCTGAATCCCAAGCCCCCTCCTCAAGGCTCCTGTCTTATTTATTATCCCTTCCCTTCTTTTTGTTCAATCTCTTCTACTTTTCTGGGTCTTCCTATAGCACATGATATGTTCATGGCTTACATATTTTAAAGTTTGCATTCATCCTGTCCCCAAACCCCTGCTGGGGGCACTGCCCTATTTCTCTCATGTTCTTCAAAGTTGTTTTTTCCAAAGGTAAATTCTGTTGTGTGTATTTGAGGTTAAAACCATGATGTTATGGAAAACATATATAGATGGTAAATTGGTTACTACAGTGAAACAAATTAGCCTACCATCTCATACAATAGTGTGTGTGCATGTGTGAAGAACAGCTAAAATCTACTACTTTAATCTATACTCTTTAATTCCTAACATCCCATTCACTGTTCCTCCATATTGCCATCTGGCTCCTGCTCCCACCACTTCAGCAAAAGTGCATTCCACTAAGTCACTGATGATGTCCTAATTGCTAAATCTAATGGATTCTCTTCAGGCTTTATCCTATCTTTTTTTTTTTAGTGACACGGTTGAGTGCTTCCTATTCCTTTCTAAATTATTTTACTATGGAAGATACACACACACACACACACACACGTATAATCATTGTCAAAAAAGATACTAGTTTTCTTCATCATTACTTCTCACCCACACTCACATTTTCTCACCCTACTGCAGTCCTATTTCCTTTCTTAGAAGTAACCAGCACTGAAGCGCATCCTTCTTACCTTCCTTCCTCTTTCCCCTCCTTTTTTCTTTCAACCTAAATGGGATGGTACTAGATTCTGAATCCCACACCCCCTCCTCAAGGATCCTGCCTTATTTATTACACCTTGAACATAAAGATGTTCTACTTTTCTGGGTCTTTCCTTTAGCATATGATTATGTTCATGGTTTCCAGATTGAAAAGTACTGTTCTACAATACTACAGAATTGGAGTCTTGCAGTCTTACAGATCTTCCATATTGGATTATATAAGTCTACTTAATTTTCTAAACCACTAGGTAGATGGATATACTGTACCATAATATATTTATTTCCCTACTGATGGAGACTTCAGTGGTTCATAATTTTTGACACCATAAATTATATTGCACTGAACATTTTGATATGTGCTTGTTAGTTCACATTTGAAGATTTCTCTAAAATGAGATATTAATACATAAACGCTGAATTTTTGGTCAAAAGATTTAAAAATCTGATATTCTATCAAATTATCCTCCAAAGGACTGTATCAGCATATAATCAGACCAATAGTAATCTGAGAGAATCTATTTTTCTGCACCCTTGTCAGCAATGGATATCATCAATCTGATGGACACATTAGTGTCGTAATTTAACTCTGATTGTTATTTTCATATGCTTATTAATACTTTATCTTTCAATTTCTGTGAATTGTCTATTCATATCTATTGCTATTTTTTATAATCATTATCTTTTTTCTTCCTGATTTGTAGGAGTTTTTTTTTTACATAATTAGGTGTTAATTATTTAGTGTGTATTAGGAAGATATTTTCTGCCAGGTTGTCACTTGATTTTAGCTTTGTTTAGAATATCCTTGATTATACAGAGATTTTAAATTTTTATGTATTCAAATCTATTACTTTTCCTTTTGACTGTCTTGGTTTTCTGTCATGCTGAAAGAGCCTTCTTTACCCCAAGATTATTTCTTAAAAAAAATCAATATTTTCCTCCTATGTGGATTTAGTGTTGCTCTTTCCATCTATCTCCTTGATCTAGCAGGAATTTATTCACTTCGTGGAACTAAAGAAAGACCATGTGGCTGAAGCCAGGGAAAGAGTGGTGACAGCTGAGGCTGAAGAGGGAGGACAGGTGGGCATGCGAAGGAGGTGAGTCTCAGTCACGAGAGCAATGAGGAATGACAAAAGGGTTTATGAAGGTCGCATGATCAGTTTTTACTAACAGCTCTAAAAGAACTGCTGAGATGCTTCAGACAAAACAAAAAAAGAAAACCTTCACACGAAAGACTGGAATGTTTAACAATACTCATGATTGAGAGATAATAGTAGATAGAGGAAAGGGCACATAACCTACTTTTCTTGCCCCTTCCCCCACATGAAGTGTTTAAACAAACCCAGACATTGTTTTCTTCGAAAGTGATGCAGGGGAGGAGAGTACCTGAAAGTTCTGAAACAGACAAGCCATGGGGTTATTGTTAGCTGGGCAAGGAATTGTGGACTGTCCTTGGAACGCCTGGAGATTCTGGTACCCCTGGAGAAGTTGCTGCTGTTGCTGATTTGGAGGAAACATCTGATTGTTGTTTAACAGCGACTGTAGATGAGTCAGTTGATGGTTATTCAAAGTATTGTTTATTGATGACATATCACCTACAGTTTGAAAAACATAAAATATAAGTAAATGTGATTCTTCAGAGATTCTATGCCTCTCTTTGTACCTGATAATTCCTGAAACAAAAACTAAGTGCTATGCTTACTTGGGTAATGCTTTTCTTTCTTTCTTCTGAAAGTCTTACTGAGTGGTAAGGAAAGAGTAGCTTTATTATTTAGTTCTATCTTGTATAATTAGTTTTTAAATTTTATAACCTGGAATGACTACTTAGTCTTTGCTGTATTCATTAAGCAGTCCTTACATATTGAGCTTCTGTGTCATATGATTCCTTGAGCCATTTTTAGATTTTAGATCTATTTTAGAGCACCTAAAATTAAAGGTTGAAATTAGTCCTACAATGTTTTAGCAATCGTATCTGACCACATAATTAAAATGAGTGAGCCTGATCAGGCCTTGTTTACAAAACTTAGCTCTCAAACCATAATTATATTCCACATCAAATCATTGATTTGGCTTAGAAATGTGCATTTTGTTTTGCAGTAGAAGGTTGGTCACCTGAAATTAAAATTGGAAAGAAAACTAACAATAGAAAAGAATTCATTGTCATAATCATTTAAAATAAATATTATATAATCAGTAAGATTAATAACTAAATTTATATTCAAAATTTGAAATTCTTTTGAATTTACTCTGACATTTTCTTGAGGACAATGTCATAGAAATTGTCCTGTAATTTGAAATATGTAAATCTGTAATGCTTTCTAGGTTACTTAACTACAAAGATTTCAATGTCAAATAGAACTAATTATGCTATATTATAAAGGTATCCATAAAATCAAAAAACATAATAAACAAATTATTTTTACACATTGAAGATGCCATTGACATCATCATGCACATTTGGCTGTTTCCAGATGTTATGGACACCATCCCTACACTTTATGTTATAATTACATATATTCATCGGTTAAATATACTTGGCATTATTTTCTAACTATTTTGTGGTAGGATAATACAGATGAAACACTTTGTTTTTAAGCCACAAAGGCCAAAAAATAATACTGACTGAGGAAATCTAGTAGAAGCTAGAGGGGCTGCCTGTTCCCTTGAACTTGGGCAAGCTTTAGCTTTGCATGTTTTTACATCTTGCTTCCTGTTTTGCTAGACAAGCGTTTAGTTTTTATTTATTTAGGGTTCACTTGGAAAACACTTTCTCAATCTGTTTCCATCCACAGTGCAGCTGCTCATACTAACCCTGTGATGCCACACCAACTAAAATTCAAATAAAAGTTACTTTAAAGATGTACCTGTGCTTTATTATTTGAAAAATAAGACTACTTGGTTTAAGAGTTGATGGGTAGGTTAGGTTTAAGTGGCATCAGAATTAGAAGAGAAAGCAGATTAAAATGATATTTAGTTTTGCTAGAATAGGGGAAAAAGGAAAAAGTCACTCATGTTTGTATAACTATGGTGTGTGTGGGTGTTGTTATATTTAGTTCCTTAAGCAAGCTGTGACATAACAAAAACATTTTTAAAAATAGTGTGACAAAATGGAGTTTTTAAAAAGGAGAAAATAGAATTAGAAAAACGTTTCTTTTGTAAAAAATTTGTGAAAAAATTTAACTTACCAAGTAGACCTGTCCCCAGTAGAGGGTTAAGTAGCTGTGGCACCACAGAGTTACTGTTGAGTTTAGCTGGACCAGGTGTATTCCCAGCATTATTAGATATATTCAGCAATGTTTCTGCCATTGACACCACTGCTGTCCCACCAAGTGTTGAGACAGTCAGTGCTGCCACTGCTGATGATGTAGTGGTTGTGGTAGTGGTTGCCTGGGAGGAGGTTGCTATGGAAACCTCTGGATGATTAGCGGTGTTGGCCGATGCCGAGTTCAGGACACCTCCCAACAGCTGGGGATTCAAGGTCATTAATCCTGAGGCCCCAGTGACAGCTGGGAGGAACAGGGGGTTAAAAGTAGTGTCACTGCCTGCAAAGCTTGGTAAAGGGTTCCCCAGGGGGCTGGTTAAAAGGGTCTCAGCTCGGCTGTTGTCTGACTGATTGCTTGGCAAATGGTCTGGTGGGGCTGTCATCTGTGTTAATGAGGGTAAAGGGGTATTTTGCTGTTGCAAAAGATCTGAGATGGTCAGATTGAAAGATGGCAGGGGAAGCATGGCAGCTGCTTGGGCTTGGTTCTGAAGCAGGGCTGCTAAGAGCTGAAAGTGAACAGGCTGCAATACCTGCCCATCCATGTCACTGGAGAGAAAAGCTAAAGCAGCGTTTACATTCGGGTTGAGAAAACCTAAAGGGTGGAGGTTGATCTCAGACTTGCCTTCTCCTGCTGAAGGCTGGAGGATATTTAATAGATTCTGGTTTAGGAGATGCTGTTGATTCACTGGCAAAGAGATAGGTAGAGAACTGAGGAGGCTGGGGTTCAAGGGGTGTGGAAGATGGTTGTTTGAAGTGCTGTTGGATGGAAAATGAAGTGCGTGCTCCTGGCCAACAAAAGGAAAATCACTCCCAATGGGCAGCTGACTCTGCAGTGGGTTTCCAGCTGCGGTGGTGACTATGACGCCATCTTGAAGAACAGACGTTGTTTTTGTGATGGCAGGGTGGTTGGTGCCCGCTATGGCTATGGAGGATGATGGTCCTGAACCGCCTAAAATGACAAAAAACAAAAACAAAAATCAGTTATTAAGCATGGATATTACATGAGACTAGGAATAAAAATGCATTAACATAAATTTCAACTTATTTGTTACATGTCACCTTCATTGATTCTAACTAGATGAATTGTAAACAGATCAATTGACACCTGCTAATGGGACTTAAGTTTAGAATGTATACTTTTGGAAATAAATATATTGAAGACATTTTATTAAGAAATAGCTGGTGGGTTGTGGTAGCAGGAGAGGTGAGGGGCTAAAAAAAAGGAAATAGGTATTGCTGACTATCAAATAGTTATCCTAGAATAGGATAGAACACTATCAAAGAATCAGTGTTCTTCATTCAATTGGGTAGATAAAAGTGACAGTTCTATTTAAAAATTTATTTTCATTAAAAAAGTTATTTGTCTTTATTTACACAACTACTACATCCCTTTAGTGAAAAGAAACCCTCAAAAGTAGAATGTACATAAAAATATAAAGCGGAAGATAAAAAGTACCTGTGAAGATAACAATTAATATTTTAGTTTTTAGCTTTCTCTCTGCCTGTCTATACATATACAGGCATGCACATATGTACATATATGTATGCAATATATGCATGTTACACATATTTTTTAAAAAATAGAATCATGCTATAATGTTATGTTGTAGCTTTTTAAAGTTATCAATGTATTGTGATTATCACTTCATGTTAACTTATATGGCTACAGAACCATTTTATTAGTATCATATATTGATATACTGTACTTTAATCAACCTACAGACATGAATTTTTTTATTTCCAGTCTCTTACTACTGTAAGCAAAACTATGACACATATTCTTATTAATATTTCTTTGCCAGTTTGCCTAATTATTTTCTATGGATTAATTTTTAAAAGTGAAATTCCAGGGACTAAAGGGCTTACATATTTTAGAAGCTTTGCATACATATTGTCAAACTACCCTCCTGTGAAGTTAATCAATACACACTCAATTTACATTCCTATAAGCAGTGGAGGACAGTGCTCATTTCTCTCACCAACACTCTATTTATCATTATTTTGGACAATGAACGAAAGTAATAATTAAGAATCTTTACCATTCCGATTGCATAAGACACTTTGTACTTATGATTTCTTAAATTAGACCAGTCTTAAATAGTATTCTTATTCTTAAAAGTCTTAGACTAAAGATAAAAATTCTGGGAGTTTAATATTTTAAAAGATAAAATTTCACTTATTTATAACTGTTTTTGTGATGCTCAACCCAAGCTGCACAACAGAATTATGTGGATTAATTAAAAACAAAACAAAAAAACAAAACAAAACAAAACAAAAAACCAATACCTGGGCCCTAACCCAGACCCGTTGAAAACTCATCTCTCGGGGTGCAGCCTGGGCAGTAGTATTCTTTGAAATCACCCCTGGTGATCCAGATGCACAAGGGGTGAGGTAGATAGGGTGAAAACCACATCTATTGAAAAGGAACCTATAATCACTTTTTTGGAAATGGTCTTTCCCCATCGTAAATGCACTGTTTTATGTAACACATGCATTTGAACAAATATTTTATTATTTTAAGAATATACAGTTAATTTTATTTAAAAATACTAAACACATATATGGCATAATGAATAACACCAGTGTCACAAAAAAATCTAAAATAACTCAAGCATTTTGGGCTACACCATCCTAAAAACCTTTACATTTATCATGTTACCATTAAAGCTTCATCCAAATACGCAGAAATGTTTCCATAGTTGTACCAGTAGTATGAATATAATTTTATATTCTTCTTGTTTTCACCTAATAGAATAACACAAGAATTTTTCCTTTCTGATAAATAGACTTTGTATTTATAGTTTTAACTGTGTAGTGTATATATTTACTATATTTATTGAATCACTCTGATAAAGTCTGGCATTCATATTTTAACTTTTCATCATTATAAATAATACAGGGATAAATGTCTTTCTACATGTGATACTTTGATACCTTTGAACTTTTTCTTTAGAAGAAATTTCATAATTGACATGATCATTTTGAGAATAGAAAAAAAGGCAAGCAAAAGTTCTGCAATCTGTAAAAGTCTATAAAAATAAAAGGAGCTGTCATCGTTACTGACATTAGTGGTCACAGTAGTGGTGCTGTGGTAATAGTAGCAAGTACAAACCCGCACATCCAACACACTTTACAAATATCCCTACAAAAAGGATTGGTCATTTTTCCCATCATGGTCTGCCTTTTTTTTTTTTTTTTTTTTTTAAGTTTTCAGTGTTTTATTTAAAAAATGAGATTTTTAAAACCCCTTTGAAAATACACAAATATTTATGAAATATTATGAAATAATGACTATGTTCACCAAAAGTAGTGTAAGAAAATGTACCAAATGCTGAAGTAGTTACATAGTATACAATTCTTTAAGTACTAATTCAGATTTGTTACAAAATAATCAAAACCTTAAACATTTAATTGCTTCTTAAATCTTGCTGCTATTTCCGTAGATGCTATGCATTATTTCCATTTGGACACCACCTTTCTAAAACTTTTTTTTCCCCCACAACATAATGGAAGCACTGTGGTTTGTACTTTTTAAATTTTTTAAAAAAATTTTATTAAACATTTACAAACATCATTAAGAGTTTTATTAAAAAGTCTTATTTACTGGTAATCACTACTTTTGGCACTGTGGCAACTTTTCCAATCTGCTAAATAATAATGATATATTTAGATGTAGAGATCACAATTTCTCTAAACAAATGTAGAACACATTTTCAAAATGCTCTAGAGTGCACATGGCAAGGCTCTGTAGATGAAGGTTTTCCTTAGAGATTATTTCCATTTTTTATCTTTATTTTGCAACAGAGAAGTATCCACATCTATGATTCAAGGAAGCAACCATTTTGGGATAACCTAAAAGCTCTCTATCTAAATATTCTTGAAGAATTAGAAAGAACGAAGTATAGATACTCTGGGTGTATTTCTGTCTTACCAACAAGAAAGTGGTGAATAACACAAGCTTCTTAAATGTAGTATGAAGATGAAGGTGTAGTTTTTAAAATTTTTCTTTCATTTTCAACAAATCAATTCAACAAACAGGTGTACTCTGTTGGACAGCAGAATATAAATGGCTGTGAAAAAAAAAAGAAAACCCCTACTCTTTCCTGAAGGAACTAATAGTTTAGGCAAAGAAATAAACATAGAAATCTCCCTGTCTTTTCCTTCTCTCAAATATATATTTATTCAGAGTTTATTACGAACTAGAATAATGTAAAGCTCTTTTCTTATATTGCTAGTATAATTATAATGCAATATGCTAAGAGATACAACAGGTACAAAACAAGGAGACCATTATAAAACTGAACATGTCAGGGAAAACTAGTCCAGTGGTATAACACTGATCTGCAATTTCAGATATGAAAACAAAATTAAAAGGGCCTCTATGCAGAAGCAAGATAATTAAAAAAAACAAAAACAAAAAACAAAGACAAGGTGATAATAAAGTAGATGGAAGGTAATGAAGAGTCCTGTGTTTCTCCAAAACAAACTAATGTGATTGAAAATATTGTGAGGTTTCCCTATGCTTCCATCTCCTCCTATCCATGGTTAAATGTGCTGCCTTACATAAGCAGTGAAGAAATTTGAAATCATCTTTCTAAACCATTAAATACAAAAATCATTTATTTATCTCTGTATTTCCAAGACCTAACACAGTCTTTGACACATGGTTGGCATTCAAAAAATATTTGTTGGTTGAATGAATCTATTAAAAAGACTGTAAAATCATAAAACTTGCACTCAACTTTTAGAAGTCGGTAGTTTGACGCTATGTATGGGTATGCTTGTGGACAAGAGGTAAGAATACCACCCGTTTGTGGAGAAAGTGAAAATGAACTCTCCAGATTATTAGTCCAATGCCAAGAGATACGGGACATTGGAAGAGAGATGGCTTCAAGATGACAAATTACCTTAAAAGGCTTCCAGATATTTCAAGAAGTTGAAATAACCCCACAGAGAGAGAGGTCTATCCCAAATTACTCTGAGTTCTTAAAGTTACTCATTCATGCTGTCATTCAAAAGAGGACCCTGAATTTGTATGAAATTTTATAGATGGAGAGAAATTTGGAAATTGCTTATTTCTGAACTACTTAATCTTTGATAGGTACTCTCTCTGGTGAACGTATTTCATAGTTCTGCACAGAAACCCTATGGTCTGTTGAGCCGTGGGGAAAAATGTTTTGTTAAAACAGTTTTTTTGTTTTGTTTTCGCAGCCAAGGTATTTTGTGCTTAATCGAACAAAAAGGACAGTGTCTGCGAGTTTTAAAAAGCAAATTATTCATTACATATTTAGCAGTTAAATAACCAAAAGGCAGCTGGGAGCCTGGAACAAGTTAGTAAGTTGGAGAAGTCCTTTACTTGGAAAAAATGATTATTTCACACCAGCCAGCAGCACCATGAACTGGCATAATTCCTTTTTCTCATTGTCTCTGTTGCTTTTCCAGAGTAGGAGAGAAGACTGGAAAGCCACCCAAACAAACTTTGGTGTGAAATCTCATGCTTAGACACCAGAGATTAAGACAGTCTAGTCCAATGAGGAAATGACAGAGGTAGCCTGCTCAGTAGGACAGATTTCTGCATGTAAACAGTATTCTGCACACACTTATAATTCATGATATATGTATATGCATGTGTGTGTACACAGATATAGCATGCCTAAATTTTAAAAGTTATTTTCCTAACATTAATTTAATCCTTGCCATGTTTCATCTCATTTTTAAAACTACTTTTCAAAACAAAGTTAATGTCTACCTCTTTTGATTCATTTCTGTTTCTCCTGGTCATTGTTTGTATTGTGCTAACACTTACATGGCTGTCTCTTAAATATAACATGATTACACGTCTTGGTATGTGTACAAGACAGGGCATAAAACTCACATCAAGAAGAACAATGAAGTGTTTTTAAATGTCATTATACCAGTTTGTTTAGCTCTAATTTTGAATAAATATTA